ACATTAGAAACCAAAGAGCCAAGTTGCAGGCGCCTGACTTGGTGCTCTAGCCTTCCCAGCAATTCTGGAAACAGTGTTTCAAAATTTTGTTTCATCCTCTTTAACAGAGTCATTTTCTACTGTTCAACACCAAGAGGCCTCACTGCTACTTCCAAATGTCTCTCAGCCTCGGCCCCTTCTCTTCACCTTAGCTGGGCCCACTCCAACCTAGACTCCCTGGCCCCTTTTCCGCACTAATGCAGCGGCTTCCTCTCTGCGTGTCTCGGGTCCATCCTTGTCCCTTTCCAATCAGTTCTATACAGAATACCCCAAGTGTCCTTTCACCGATACAAGTGAAATCAGATCATTCTCTTACACAACATCCTTCCTGTGGACTTAAAAGTATAATTTAAAAAATTTTAACACAACCAATATAACTTAACATGATCTTACTAGTGACCACTTTTCTAATCTTAAGGGTTCATCAACTGACATGTGAATAAAGTGTGCTATATCCATGGAATGGGATATTACTTGGCAATAAAAAATGAATTACTGATACATGCCACAATATGGATGAACCTTGAAAATATACTATCTTTAAATTCCGTCTTCATACTCTTTTAAAACCTGTTTCCCTCAGCTCTCTACAAGGATCAATGAAACCTGTATTTTTCCCTAGAGATACTGAAAGAATACTTAAGACAACATAGTTACAATTAGTTAACTCTTTATTCTCAATTCACAATCTCTTTTGGAGGGGGCTGTGTTTTATCTTTTATAACCAGACATCCCTAAATTACTAAGTGACGGAACCTTAACGGAGAGATCAGTCCTTTACAGGCTGCTGTCCCCCATGTTAGCATCGCCCCTTTTAGTACTTATTACCCTTGATTCAAATTACTACTCCCAAATATTCCTGAAGTTGAGAGGCATTTCCTTTCTGTTTGTGATAGATCTTCAGTTCCAAAGGGAAACGCTGCCTGTGTACATGCACTTTCACACACTCACTCTTATTTTGGTTTCACTCATGAGATAATTTGAGAAATATTTTGAGCACCTCAGCTGTATAATGCATGGATCCCACTTCAATCCCTCAAAAAGAAAACACTGTTTCTTGCTGGAATCACATCAGGTAATACTGATTAAGTTCAGATCTAAGTGGACTGCCCTACATTAAGATTTGTCCCACCAATTCCAGGCAATTCAGAAGGGACAGACAGTATTCTTTCCCCTCGTGACTCAAAAGAAATAATCTTGGAACCCCCAGACCAACAATCCATGGCTATATTTCACAGGAAACTGGGGGTCCTCTTAAAAATGAAGATTCTAGGTGCTCTGCGCTCATAGCCCAGGGCTGCCAAAGAGCCAAACACTGGTCCCTGCCCTTCACCTGCTTCCACAGGGTACTAACATACAAAGGATGGTACTGGTGGCTGGGGAGAATGTGCCTTATAACAACAGGGTGCAAAGTGACCCACGGCCCAAATGCCAGACCCTGAAGCCATCAGCTGCATTTGTGCCTCAGCCACCACTGCTACACGCTACTCTCAGCCACTCACAGACATGGCAAGGCTACTAATGAAGGTCTCCTGATGGCCTCCGCCATCTTTCTCTTCCTCCCTGGGTACAGACTAGCACTTCCCTCCTGTCTTGCCTCCTCTCACCCCACCTCCTTTTCTCCCACTCATGTTTCTCCGAATAAAATGTTTACATGCTTAATCCTGTCTCAGTCTTTGCTTCTCAGACAATCCAGCCTAACATATCTGGACAAACAGTGTACCTAAATTTATATTTTCTGAAACTAGCAAATTTTAAATGGGTTATCAGAAAATGGGGATACAAACAGGGATTTTGTAAAGTAAATCTCAGATAGAGTTCTTCCTTCTCCATTCCATTCCTCCCTATCTTGCAAAAGATACTAATAAAAGAAAATCAGTCTTTTAAATAGATGTATCAAATAAATAACTTTCCTAATATTGAAGACTCTTCTTCAAATTCATCCAGCTCTAACAAGAGAGAGCAAATTAAAAGCTGTCTTGAAATTAGCTACTTATGTTGTCAGTCTATGATTAGACTATAAGCTCCTAAAAGGTGAGTATCCTCTCCCATTCATGTTTTTTTCTTTAATGAGATACTAGGTTCCTTCATCGCTGGTACACAATAAATGTCTGCTGAATGGAGATAATGTTCAACCACGGTGAACAATAGAGTTTACCATAGAGTCGAAGGTGGTAAGGAGTTCTAGACCTCTCTAGGGACATGGAAAGGCAAATAAAATATACCTATTGTTTTCACTGTACAACCTACAGAAAATAAACTAAATAAACTTCAAAGTTTCCTTTTACAAACCATAGAAAGTAAAGTTCAACAAAAGAAACAAAAGAAAGTAAAGTTCAACAAAAGAAACAAAAGAAAGTAAAGTTCAACAAAACTCTTAGAGTAGGAATAAGTAAAAGATACAATGAGAACCATTATGGGGAACTGATTTTAAACTGTTTAAGGAGCTCTGCACCAATGATAACCTTATTGGCCTAAAATAATTATGCTCCCTCTAAGAACTGGCCAAAATATAATGTCTGGATTTAGGAGGCTAAGTTGCAATAATCATGTGCACAGACACACACATATAGATTACATGTATATACACATTATATATTTTATAAAATGTATATAGATTTCCTTGTATCGATAAATTTCACTATAATCTAGATTTACTCAAACTTCATTATTTATACATTGATAGCATATACATTTCTCCTTAATAGAAAAATCATGTCTTACCATATCAGAGATGAATTTAAAACAAAATATCGATCATTTATTGTGAAAAGCTGGCATTCACTAAATAATTCAATAGTAAACAGAAATAAAAAGAAAGTTTGAAAGTTACATATATACACGTTCTATACACTTTCTGATTTCCTCATGATCATTTAATTGAAAAAAGCAATTTATTTCACCAACTGCTGGCATATCTATAATGATTAAATTTTTACTGTAGCAGTGAAAACAAATTTTTAGTGAAAACTCCAAACAAAGAAGCTTTAAGTAGCATTTCCAATAACAGATTAATACATCTAAATTATACCTTGTCGTTGGAGATTTTTTCTGCATATTAACAGATTTAAAACCTAATTAATTTCTCCCCATTTAAGAACATAACATTAACTTTGATTTGACTTATGTACTTTTATATACGTTTGGTAAATGAGAGTAGGTGGAGAAACATTCCATATATGAATCAGAGTCAAAAAAGGCTTCCCTTTTCATTATTTTACCAAGAAACTACTGTATGTAGGAAGAAATTAAAGAATAAAGATATATCTAAAACAGTCTATGGAATTACAGGTCTTTTAACATATATAACAGTCTAATGAAAAGTTTATGTAGAGTAGGTTCTACAGAATTACAAGTTAGCACTAAACTACCTGACACTGGGGAGTCCAACTTTGGCCCTACAGCTTAGGAAGAAAATAAAAGCATAGCTCTTCACATTTCAAATTGTTAACATGTCATTTTTCGTATGAGTCAACCAAATAATAGATCTAAATTGAATTGCCTACCTGTTCAGGGTGTGATAATACACTTCACAATGAAGTCACAGTCAAAAGGACTAATCCTAACTAATTTAACATGTACTTTATATAAAAAAATAGAAAAGCAAATAATTCCAAGTAGCTAAACAAAAGTAACTGAAAATTGTCATTTAAAGGTTAAGGGAAACAAAGAGGCCTATAATTTTAGAAAGTCTGAGAAATTTCATAGCAGGACAGAATATGGATTATCTTAGTGAACGTACTTTTGATATAAAGAAAACCAAGATTCCAATTAGAAAAAGTGAACAGGTGGAAAGGGATCATTTATTCTCTTTTCAAAGATACTGTTTTCCTAGTCAGCTGTCAGAAATCACTGCAGGACTTCTCAACAATTGCTTACAAAGTTGCATTCTAAATGATATTTTTGGCAACAAAATGTGGTGTGCATATTAAAAATATGCAACTTTTCATGCTACAGCATTTCCATTCTTCCCTTCATCTGACAAATATTTATGGAGCTCCTAGAACATAATCAAGCATTGTTCCAGTGCTAGGGATACAGCATAAACAAAAAGGCCTCAAATCCCTGCTGCTGTAGGGATTACTTTCTCAGTAAGACAAATAATAAGCAAGAATATAAGTGGAAGGTTGTGTGTGTCTATTCCCATACTGTTCTACTGTCATTCTGCCACAATAGAGCCCTTTGTTGCAGTGCTACTGGATATGGTTTAAATAAAATTATAATGTGAAAAAGACCTTTTGATATTTCAGATAAATTCTCTGGGCCAAATTTTAAGGGAAATTTGTCTTTAAAAGATTAGTCCAATATAAACTAGAGGTAACTAAACATTTTTACATATTATAGATTTTTGCAGGCCACCTATGATGAGTGTCACATATTCTTCATTCTTTTTCAATTCTTTAAAAATATAAAACTAGGGCCAGGGATTTAGCTCAGTGAGACCGCGCCTGTCTCGCAAGTGCTAGGTCCTGAGTTTGATCCCTGGTACCGCAATAAATAAATAAATAAATAAATAAATGAATGAATGAATGAATAAAATTATCCTTATCTCACAGACCACACAAAAACAGACCAGGGGCTGAACTTAATTTTGCAGCCATAATTGATAACCCCTGACCCAAAGCCCTGAGTATACAAGCTTTTGCATGCTATCAGTCCTATATTTCATGATTCATTGTATGCATTTTTTGCACATTTATTCTTTTGCTCTTTATTACTCTTCTACCAAAATCTATTAAGACATTCTTTACTAGAGCTATAGTAGTTACGGCTACAGCAGCTTAAAGTCAGTTCTGAGGAGCACAACCACCTGCTTTACCTCAGACAAGCAACAGGAACAATCTTGGCAGAAAGCCCTTTGCAAACCCATCTACACTCTGTTGAAGAGACAGGGCAGAGATTCCACACGCTCTCCACAGACTTCCTGAGGCAGACACATTTAAGGTCTCATGTTCCCTTACCTTGCTGGAGGGACATCAATATTGGAAGAAACAACTTTTCGTTTTTGCTCAAGGAGACAGATGGAACGAGTGTTTTCTTTCTCGTGGTCAAGAACCCGACTGGCTTTTTTGGTGTCTCCCATTTTCATATCTTCCTCCATGGCCAAGGGGAACAGGTGATGAGACATTTTCTTACTGGAGTCACGTTTTAAGTCCTCAGCATGAAATGTAAAGGTCATCTCCCGCTTAATGCTCCCCACCTGTGAAATGAAGCACACACACTCTTACATGAAGTATCAGCTTTGCCTGACTGTCATGAGGAGGGACAACAAATGCTCTCCTCCCTGTTTATCAGAGTTTGTAGTTTAAATGGGGAAAATGCAACACAGAAATGCAATAACTAGCACTACAAAGTGATGTACCATTACTAGTATTTTTAAGAGAGTATAATTCATGCTATATGTCTTTCTTTATCACAATAAAAACTGAGTACAGAACTTGAATGGACAATTTTCCAAAAGAGATATATACAAAGACAGTAAGTACACAAAAAGATGTTCAAAATCATTAATTACTAGGAAAACACAAACCTGAACTACAATTAAATACTACTTTACACCCAATGAGAGGGCTATTGGAGAAACCTATAAAAAAAGAGAAAGTCCTGATGAAGCAAATGTTGATGAAGCTGGAGCCCTCTTACAGTACTGATTGGATTCTAATATGGATAACAAGATGCAGGAAATAGTTTGGCATTTCTTCAAAAAGTTAAATACAGAATTATCCTATGTTCCAATAATTCTACTCCTAGGTATGTAAGAATAGATTTACAGACAAAACTGTATGTGAGTGCTCATAGCAGTATTCATGATAGTAAAAAGGTGGAAACAATTAAAATGTCCATTAACCAATGAATGAAGAATACATGGTAGATCCACACAATGGAATACTATTCAAGTGTAAAAAGGAATAAGATGCTGATATATGCTAAAAATGAAGCTTGAAAACAATATGCTAAATGAAAGAAGCCAGACACAAATGTCATATTGCATAATTCCATATGAATTATAAGATGCAAACCCATTAAGACAGAAAGCAGGTTAGTGGCTGTTGGGGACTAGAGGAAAAATGGGGACTGCTTAATTGGAAAAAGGTTTTCTTTTGAAGGATGAAAATGTTCTGAGAGTAGAGACAGTGAAGATGGTTGAACAACATGTGAATGCACTAGGTACCCCTGAATTAAATTTATTTATTTATTTATTTATTTATTTTTGTACCGGGGATCAAACTCAGGACCCTGTGCTTGCATGGCAGGTACAGTGCCACTGAGCTAAATCCCTGGCCCCGAATTATATGTTTTAATATGGTTAAAATGGTGAATTTCAAGTCACATAAACTTTACAGCAATAACAATAACTGAAGACAAAAAACCCAAAGTAATGTACAATCGATGTATCTATTACAATGCAAACAAAAAGCATCAAAAACACAAGAAAAGCCTTTCTTTGAAGACTTGAGGACCTCTAAATTTTAAAATTTAAAATATTGTTTTCTGTTTTATAATTAGTAAGGTTCAATTAAGCTACCAAATATTTCAGACTTATTATCACGTTCAATAGAAGAGCTCTGACATACAAAGCTGAACTTTATCTCTATTAATACAGCTCTTAACAACACTGCAGTTCAGGAAGAACTGCATTTTTATCTTTTATTTACTGTAGTTAATATCTTAATAAAACCCTTTCTACAGCCAAATGATAAAAAACAGGCTAATTTTTATCATTTTGAACTAAATGCAATGATTAAGGGACAAGACAAATATAAATTAAAACTCAGTGAACTGAATTCTGATATTTCCAAATTTTGATCACTGAAAAAGGAGAATGAAATTAAAGAAAGGTTTTTAGTTTTGTTTTGAAACAGGGTCTCACTATGGAGTTCAGGCTGGTCTTGAACTCACCATATAGCCCAGGCTGGTCTCAAACTTGGGGTGATCCTCCTGCCTCAGCCTCCCAAGTGTTGGGATTATAAGTGTGTTCCACCAAAAAGAGATTTCTGTAAGGTAACTGCTATTGTACATGAAGTCTGGAGCACACTAGTTCACTAATCCTAAGTATACAAAGAAAAGTCAGACCACTTGGTAATCTGGAGTGTCATTAATCACTAGAGTGATCTCAAAATGTGCACACCTATAAGAGCTTTCACAGGCTGGTAAGATAATCTATCACTTCTTGTGGAGACAGTTGATGAAGTTCATTTGCAGAATCAGTAATTCTTTATCTCCCTACTGCTTAAAGAGCAGACACATTTGTTTCTTTTAAACTTTAGGTAGGAGAAAAAGAAAAAAGAGTTTGATCAGATTTAAGAGTTACAGAATCCAAACTGTAAGTCTTAAGGCAGTTTCAGAATAAAATGAGGCATTTTGTGTTTGAGAATAGCAGAGTCTAGTATTAATGACTGCGGGTTCTCAGATGAAGGAAAACTCAGATACATGTGTGTTGAAGACACAGAACCTGCTACCTGTGAGACTCTCCAGAGCCCCGGGATGACTTGTGCCTTGGAATGCACTTGGTGGGCAGTGTCTTTCATAAGAACACACAAGGCTCTAAACAGTGCTCCATCCTCTCGGGAAAGAGGTCAGGTTCCCATGATTTTCTTATTCCTACACCCGGCTCCACAAGAAAATGTCTTGTACTTTTGGTCTACTTGCAACTCATGAAAAAGTCACCACATTTCTTGGAATGCCTTAGTGAAGTAAAATAGATGTCTAATATAAGTGAGTGGGTGCTTGTGTTAACTGTTTCAACCACATCAATACATAACAGAAAGGAGTAAGAAAATATTTCACACTTCCAAAAAGGCAATGTTTTATAAAAAGGTAGCTTAGAAAATCAACAAATACAATTATAAATCTTTTAAATATCTCTCCTTATTCAATATTTTATGCAATTCTTTCTGCCTGGATGAGGAAGTGACAGAGGTGATTATCACTTCAGTTCCCACCTTAAATTGCAACAAGCATACCCTAAGTCAGCCATAGAAGAAGAAAACAAAGGCTTCAGCTTTTCAACAGCTTCACTGTAAGGGTCAAGTTCTACATTAACTAGCTACACTGTTATTAGTATAAAGTTGAAGCAACAGTTGACCTCCATGCCTCTCTTGGCCCCAAGTGGACTGACCAAATAGAGCCCACCCACCATTTAAAGGAAGGAGGCAACATGAGAAGAAGCTCAACTTTTAGCATAATTTTAGAGAGAAAAATGTGAAGTGAATACAAATAGAATACATTTCCTATAGAAATATTACAACTGTATCCCATGCTTTTGGTCAAGGCTTTATACTAAATCACATTATAGTAATATTCAACAATGCAAGCTATAAATCTAAAATAGTTTTTAAACAAAAAGTCTATTAACAACAACTGAGAATTTTATCAATGGGATGGAATTCAAAGACAAGTGAGTGCAGACTCATTGTTTAAAAGTGGAATTACGGAAGCTGTCTGTCCACGGCAGCAGCCTGGTCCAAAGCACGAAGCCATTACAGGTTGGTAGGCAGGATGGGCCCTTTCAGTACCATTCGGCCTGTGTCCTTGCTGAGTCCTCTGCCTAGAATGCCTTTCGCTAGCTTCCTCACTTGCTAAACCATGTGCTCCCACAGGACGGGCACCATGTTGTATTCATCCCTGTACCCCACCCTCTAGCAGTGCTGCATGTAGCAGGCCCTCAAGAAATGTGTGCTGAATGAAGGCTGCCTGTGACAAGCAACTGGACTTTAGTCTTTCCTGATCCTTGCTCCTATGACACACCTCTTCTGACTGCCACTGTCACCCCTTCAGAGCAGAACTTCTCCAGGGAATCTGGAAGGGAAACAGCCATGGCCAGAGACATCCTGGGTGAAGCCGGGTTGCACTTTGCTGAGCTGAATAAGATTTGGGGGTTGGACCCAGGGGTTACCCAGGAGACCACAGAGCTCTAGGAAGAGTTCGAGGACTTTGTGGACAAAATGGCTGCTTTTAGAAACTAGCTGGTGGCCTAACTGGGCTTGTTGACCAACCTGGAAAAAAAGTACAAAATGAGAAGATGAAGGCCACTGGTGCTCGGAACTTGCTCAAATCTATAGCAGAGCGGAGAGAAGCCCAACAACAGCAACTTCAGGCACTAAGAACAGAAAAGAAAATGCAGCTAGAAAGGTATCGAGTTGAATATGAGGCTTTGTGTAAAGTAGAAGCAGAACAAAATGAATTTATTGACCAATTTATTTTTTCAGAAATGAACTGAAAGAACTAGAAATGCACAAAAAAGCCCCCCCGCCACCCCAAACCAAAAAAACCTTTACCATTCTAGTGACTTGACTGATGGCCTAAGCATGTCATAAGCACTATGATGTAGTTCAGGGTGAAGGCCCTGGATTGAATCCCAAGTACTGCCCAAAAAAGGGGGTGGGGTGGGGTGAGGGGTGGGAATGTAGCTCAGTGCAAAGACCCTATGATCAATCTCTAGTACTATGTACCAAAGAAGAAAAAGAAAAGGAATTACAGTGGCTAGAGATAACCAAGAGGGCAAAAATAATTGTAGAGATGAGTAAGAGATGTTAAATTGTGCATGTCGTGTGTTCCACTGTAACTGGTGGAGGGCTGGCGGCAGGTGTTGAGCTTGCATATATGTATACAACTGATATTCTCGTTAATGGAAGAGTTGAGGCCATATCTCCTACGCAGACAAAAGAGTCAGTGATAGAAGACAGCTAGAAAGAACAACAAGAAATCTGGATAGAGAAAAATCAACAGCAGCATCAAAATTTGTAAGTGCAAAAGACAACAAGAAGAAACAGCATGCACAGAGCTAAGTAACAGCACACCTCCAAAGGTAAATGGATTTGCCAGAGAAGGAACAGCTTTTTCAGAGGTCCTAGAGTCTTTAAAGTACCAGAAAGAAAATATGCCTTGGATCACAAACCAACAGCTTCTTCCAGGAGTGATACCTACATAGAAGGGCTGAGGAGATGAAGCCACTCAAAAGTGTGCTACTGATCATCTTGGCGGAGCGTGAGTCCTTTCCAATCCACCTGATTCACCACTGTTATCAGCTCTGAATGGATAAACTAGAAAACAGAACCTAGAAATCATCACTGGTAGCCTTAAAGACTTTTCCAGGGTTTAGACTTGAGACACATTCCCAAAATATGTCATTATGGATATACAAATATTACAAAAGCAAAAAAAAAATCCAAAATACTTCTGGCCCAGGTATTTCAGATA